TATATATATATATATAGTGTTTCGGTGGCTAGAAAAAAGATAATAACTACTCTCTTTAATGTTGGGACCACTTCGACGCGTATACGACTATAAAATCAAGCTGCAAGGTGTCACAGCAAATAGCGTGTAGTAATATGATGATAATGATAATGCCACCGTTATTGCCAATAAGAATACTTAACTGATCGGAATGTTGAGAAATCGAAGTTCCACGAACTATATTATTATAGCTCGTTTATGTCATATCCGCGTTCATATCATTATTATCCTTTAAAAAATTGATTCTTTTTAACTTCCTTGTTTCTTCGTCAGCAATTTACACAAAAAAACTAACATAATTACTGAAATAAAAAAAAGAAGTTTACCTTGATGAAAGTTATTCGTGTATACTCTCGATATAGTTTTTTAATATATTTTATGAGATTCCAAAATTTTATAGAATACAATTATTTTCAATAAAAATTATTGAAGTAATTTTTAATTGAATATCTTTAAATAAAAATAATTAATATGATAAACGAGAAAATATTTTCATATTCTTCGTCGAGATGTCAGATTTCTTCATTTTCAGTTATATGACATATTAAGGTTATTAGCAATTAAGTTTATATACCTACAGTTATTTTCATTTTTAAAGCATTATAAAAAATTTTATATTTTGTATTTCTTATTTTTTTAAGGTTTTTTCGGTAAAAATTCACTAGAGCGCTTTTCATAGAAGAGTAGTGTATGTTATTATCGTATATACAAAATAGTACCTAAATATTATCATATATAGAAAAAAATACTTTAAAAATGTTTAATTTCGAAAGCATTTATTTTTAATATTTTTAATAAATTTAGTACGAAAATATATTAGCAAAATTTTGCCAATTTTTATATTTTATTTTCATTATAATTAGTATTATATAATACGATATGTATATATAATTATTATATTATATAATATTAAATATAATCTATATTTTATAAATTTATATTTATATTATATAGAGGAAAGTCGCCGATACTGACATAGGTCTCCTAAAGTGACATCCCCTTATTTCTCAGAAACTTACTATTGCACTTTATTAATACTAATAAAATCATGATCTGTTTAGCTAATTAAAGAAGCAGAAACTTATAATTCATATATTTGTGGCTTATTTCTATATCAAATTAGCTAAAAACCAATTCTATGAATCCGAGAAGAAAATTCTTACGGTGTTCTTTTGCAAATTGCGTAATTAAAATAATAGTGACTGTATTATTGATAATATTATATAATTTTAAATGTTTATAGTTTCATAAATTAGTTTTCTTTACAGAATATAGGACATATCTTTATTTATAGAATAGGAATGTTGGTATTATTGCCTACTATGTCAGTTTTGGAGTCCATTTTGTCAGACGCTCATTTTTGCATAACTTACGAAAAACTTAATTATTAATTAATTGCTAACAGTATTATAAAAATTGCTTATACTATCTGATAGAAGACACTTTTTACTTTGTATTTATGTTTTTGAAGTTGTATTTTTACCTTTTGTTTAAAAAATATTGTCTAAAAATAAGTCGGTATCGGTGATCTTCCTCTATTAAATTATATAATATTATATAATATAATAATTATGATGTCTATTTTCATCGAAGAATAGCATTTATTTATTGATCCTGCATAAACATAGATGCGTTTATTTCATCGTGGATAGTAGAGAATTTGTAAACAAGCGTAAACGAATTCCATCTTGATCACGTTAACAGTCGATCGTTCAGTTTTCACACATAATCGAATTTGGACCTTCTTTCTCTGTGCGCGGTAAATCTGAATCCGATGAAAGATGAAACTGTCTGCGTGGTTCGCTTACTCAGTTAGCCATCCGATATATTAATTTTGGGTGATTGGTCACGACAACCAAATCGAAGACGTGTTCAATAGTCTGTGCTGGTCTCCAACGCCCGATCAGATCGGTGTCTTATGGTAGCCTGACAGATTGACACTGTCCGTCGGATATTAGTGGCAATATGTTCCTTTAATTAAAGTCTTTCTGCTACGACGAACCGCGGCTAAGTCTGTCCATTTTGTCTCCCACTTTCACCCTTTTCTTTCCTTTACTTGCTCTCTCGCGATCTAAAGATCGCCGTCAATCCTATCGATCGTGATTTGATACAGGATCGTCTCTCAGGTAAGACGCTAAATGCGGACGCGCGTGGAATCCACGCCTGGCGATCGATGATCGTATTAAGCACGACACCGTCGGGGATGCCTGACGATCGGCATTCACTCGTGAGAGATGCGGGAGATAGTATATTATTAACGAGACAACTCGTCAGCCCGAATAAATAAAACGATAGTTTAATTAAGCGAATAGACACCGCGCTCGGTACTTTCGTTTATTTTTGGATATTTCGGAAATCCTACAGTATTTAGATATAGTCATTTACTTTCACATAAAGATATGTGTAAATAATATGTACAAATTTGTTATACAGAATATTACATAATACCTCAATAATTGATTGTCATATTAATTACAAAGCGGAGACAATCATTCGACATGTAATTCTACTTTCTGTAACACAGAATTTGAGGATGACTTTTTTCTTCGTGATTGTTTTTTTTTCATTTTTTGAGATGCATACAATCGTATTATATTTAATTTGAGAAATAGTTATTTCTAAATTGAATAAAAATTTAATTATAATTATTTTTTTACAAATATTATATAGAAATATATGTAAATTTCTGGATGAATACTTGACATCTTTCTTTAGTGTAACAGATATGGCTTTAATTTTCGTATTTTAATTTTTAAAAGAATCATTACAAATATGATTCGAAACACAATATCACTGCAGCAAGTTAATTTGCATTCTATTTGTCATTTATGGTCTTGTCTCACTCCATAAAGATGATTGCTGTGTAAGTTGACAAAGTCCGATTATATACGTTTTATCAAGTAATTGTAAAATTTATTATGTGTTGTGTTGGGTTGTAAAGAATTTGTAATTGTTGTTTCTGCAGAGTGTCCCGAATTCAAATAGCCAAACTTCGGAACCGTGTAGGGAATCGATAAACTAAAAAAAAGATTCCCTACACTGAGAAAAAAATGCTGTTGATTCAATTAAAGTCTATATTACGGGCTGTCACTAACATAAGTGATTAATTCATGCGTATATTTTATTGACTTTTCTCAGTGTACATACTTCCAAAGTTTAGCCACTTAAATTCAGGACGTCCAGTATGATGAGTTTTTATTCCATGTATAGTATATCTACGCGTCCTCGTATTTGTTGTATTATTATTTCATGACATTCGCTTATCAGATAGAACTGCAGTTCTTTTTATGTCTTTTAGCTTTGAGATATGTACATAAATACATAAAAGTTATGAAACTAATAATAATAATAATAATAATAAAATTGATAATAGAAATAAGAAAGGTAGACGACAAATCAGTTTGTCAAATAAATATCGCTTTGTGTTACGAAGCAATCGTAGAGTCAGAAGTTACACCCAAAAAATGGTAGGCCTCTGTCAGGAAAAGGTAGGACAGCAGGTACATAAATCTCGTCTACAAAATGCATTATTGGACGATGCGGATCGATGACAGGGGCGGCAATGTGTTAACCGGTCGTTCCGGGTGACAATTCTCGCCGTCATCATTTATCTGTGACTCCGTTTGCGGACAGCTTACCTTAGGAAGTCCC